GCTTCTAGTTGTTCGTGTACCTGAGATCTTCCTGTCAAACAGACTTGCCCTGTCCACCCTGTCAATTTCTTTCAGTATTTTGTACTAAGTCATGTCACCTCTGGTTCTTCTGTCTTCTAGTGTATTAGGTTCAACTCCTCTGCCCTCTTCTCACAGTTTTTACTTCTCAAATTACTGCACTTTTCTAGCGTCTTTACATGCTATATCAGATGCAAATTCCTTACTGGCGCTGCATGCTTCAAGACCTAACATATACCCTAAAACCTTTCTTGTTAAGGCTCCTATAAGTTATTATTAAATTTACTAGTCTCATTTCCTGCAGCGGTTATTTGGCTGATGTGTGCTTCAGGCGAAATTCTTAGGATAATGCTCACCCCAATTTGTTTTTGCTTCAGGGAATATTGCCGCCATTGTTCACTTAGCCTGTACTGTTTCTAGTTATCTTTGCCCTTCCCTGCCTCTCATAACTTTGCATTTGCTGGTGCTTAGTTCTAATAGCCACTTGTTAGATCAATCCTACAGCTTGTCCAGATTCATTTGAAGCCTTTCCTGGTCTACTCCTGTTTATATTCTCATTCGTTTCATATCTGCGAGCAGGGACACCTCTGGCTTTCCTATGTCGTGTCGTTTATATACACACTTAACAGTATTGGTCCAAGTGTTAACCCCTTTGGAGCCCCTCTTGTCACACTTTCCCATTCTGACACCTCTTCCCAGACAATAACTCGTTGTTTTCTACCTGTTAAGTATTCTTTGATCTACTGTAGTGCTTTCCGGGTTATTCCTGCCTGCACCTCCAGTTTATGTTCTAGTCTTATGTGGGAGGCCTCTTGCAGATCAAAAATACACAGGCCACCCATCCCTCTTTCTTGCCTAACTTCCTTTACCTTAGCACAGAACTCTAGCAGAGTTCAGAGCAAGGGTTTTCCCTCTTGAAAACCTTTACATACTATGTCAGCCAGTGACACAGGCCTGTAGTTCAATGCCACCAGTCTGTTCCTGTTTTTAAATATTTGGACTACATTCACTATTCTCGAGACCTTTTGAAGTTGCCCTGTTTCACTTGATAAAGGTCACTGCTAATGGTTCACACAGTTCCTCTACTTCCTCTTCTAGAATCCAGGGAAAGATGTTATCTTGTCCTTTTACCTTCTTGGTATCTAACTGGCTCAGTAGTTTCTTCAACCCTCCAACCAGTCGTTTGTATTGTGTCCAGTACTTGTTGGTGCAATCTGCCTCTTTGCTGTGTGTCGCTGCTCATGATTCCACTGTAAATACATCCCTAAATCTTTTGTTTAAATCTTCACACACTTCCAGGTCAGCCTTAATACCTTATTTTTCACAGAG